ACTGAATCAGTGAAGGAGAAGTAACATGGCATATCATATCTTGTATTCCTTTAGATTTCTGCCAAAATGTGACAATAGCTCTAGCCCCGAGAATCAGGTTCAGGATTTATGTCCAATGCTGATGTTCAGTGCCAGTGGAGGAAATAGTGTGACCTTTATGTGGCGAGGCAGACGGTAAGGGTGGAGGTTGCCTTTTAATTATCTGTAAGCACCATCTTTTCCTAACCGTAACCATATTGTATGCAATGCACAGATAAAGTAGAACCCAGAATTTTAACCTTTGTGTTTTGTTGAAATTGGCACGAGTTTAAATACCACTTTCTTTTTCTTCTGACCTTTTCGAAAACTCAGTCTTTAGGAAAATACTGAATAAATAACCCCTCCCCTCTTCCCTTCCTTGCAATAACTGGGCTTGCACATTTGATGAAGCTGATGTGGTTGACTCCAAAGAGATCTGACCTCTTGTTAGACCTCCTGTGCTAAAACTGTTAAAATATTCCAGTAAGAGAGAAATCCTAATAGACTCATTTACGATTTGGGAGGGGTAGTGCTGCATATGACTGTCCACAGATAAAGAGAATCTGAGAATCCATTCAAGTAATCAAGAAGTAATGCCTCAGTTTCTGTAGAGGACTTCTGAAATATGTCCTCAGTTCAAAATCGTTTCATAAAATGTGTCTTTTGAGCTGTTAAAGAGGACCCTCGGGGGTCTTCAGGACCTCAAACTGAATAAAACTTGACATTGACTGTAAAGAAGGGTTTTGCAGAATCCTTCAATATCAACGTTCTTGCCTGTCAATGTTGTAAGACTTCGTATTCTGGGTGTATCAGGACCAAATGGCAGTGACCCCAAACCACCATATATTCCCACAGAATCTCAACAGATACACAGTCACACGGTTGTAAGCCTCCTACAAAATACATGCAGACAGAGTTAAGAGACCTCTCAATTATCTGTGAAAGTCAGACACTATTTAAACATTTTGGTCCATGGTCATTGGGGTTAGCAATGCAATTGATTTTGATTGTTTTCTGAATACTCTATTTCTGCTTCTATGTGTTTAAAAAGCTCTTTACTACATTATGTGTTGGCAGTTCCCTTTGTAGGCAGTACGTGACAGGAAGAAACATTGAAACCACTGGAAACAATGACAATGTTTCGAGTTATTTGAAAGTTTAAAATGGCAAACATATGTTTGAGATTATTCCAAGGAGTTCCCCTGAACCAACATTGGGAAGTTATGTAATATCATCCCCTGATGAAAAGTAGCTTTCTTACCCTCTCAGTATTCATGCAGAAACATTGAGACACTAACACATTCTTTTACTGTTAAGTATACAGTATTAATTTTAACAGTGTGATGAATACAAATCTGTGTGAAAATGTGTTGATAAAAGCCAAACTGACCCCAATTTGCCTCCTCTAAACGCAACAAACTCATATGTGTGTGTGTATATAAGATGCTTTATTCAAGATGTGAAAACAAACCTAAGCTTATTTACTTATGGAAAGTTAATGAGACCACATTCCAGTGTGTTTAAACTAAACTGATCTGCAGCAAGAATTATTTTCTGAACAAATATGCTCAAAGTATTTTACCTTAGCGATCTGTGTTTTCTATAGAGCTCTCTCAACTCAACCATCCCTTTCTCCTTCCTTCCCTCCACCTCTTAGCTTCAGGTCGGTTTACACTTGAGAGAACGAGATACTGCAAATAAACTACACAGCGGGACAGAACACACAAACACATGCAAGCAACAAACACAAAACATTAGTGCTGAAACCAGAGACGATTGACAATGAACCAATCTAAAACAATTCTGATAACTGACAAATTGTTTATTAATAGTCAACGCTAGCAGTTCTGTGAGGCTTTACTTATGGGCATGGCCATATGCTAACATGTTCACATGTGCAATGCTAACATACTAATGCTAATGTTTACCATGTTCACCGCCTTTAGTTTAGCGTGTTAGCATTCTAACATTTGCTAATAAGCACTAATAAAGTGCAGCTGAGGCTGATGGGAATGTGAGTTTTGCAGGAATTTGGTCATAAAGTATTGGAAACATTTATATTTTGACCTGGTGGTGGCACGAGATGAATACAGCATCTGGGAACCATGAGAGTCTGTACTACAGTTCAATTATTGAGATATTTCACTTACTATCAAAATGGTACACTGACCAATATTGCCATCCATAAAGCCACAGTGCTAGCACAGCAAAAAATATCACATTTAAGAGGCTTGTTCCAGCCTCTTAAATGTGATCATTTTCTTCTTGTTTCTGTTTTATATAATTGTTTAGTGAATGTCTTTGGATTTTGGACTTTTGGTCTGACAAAACAAGCAATCTGAAGACGTCATCTTGAGCTCTAGGCAACTGTGAAGGGCATTCTTCATTATTTTGACATTTTATTGACTAAACAATTAATCAAATAATTGAAGAAATATCAGTTAAATCAAGAGTCTGCTCTTGTCTACTTCCCTGCTCTTGCCCTCAGTAAATCAGTTCATCAGTATTTATGACCTTGTCTGGTTGCATCCACAATGACGCTTTTGACGATCCAATCTTGGTCACCTGATTTCACTCAACTGCATCATATTACCCTGCGACATACTTACATGCTGTTACCCCTGTGTGGTTTTCAGACAGAACTTTCTAATTATAGTCGTTTAGTTGTCACAGGACACAAGGTCCTGCTAAGAGATCAGGTGATAGAGAGGTAGCAAAAAGGGGACAGTACAACTCATGTTAAAGCAGAGCTAAAGGCTGATTACAGGGCGAGTAGGGGGTTGAAAGTTTTGCTCCGAGGCACTTCATCAGGAAACATGGCCGTGTCTAACTTCTAGCCTGTGACCTCTTTGTAGTTTAGTTTTCTGAATAATCAATTAATAGGGAATTCTACTGATTTCGCACCTAAAGGCCAGTTTGCTAGTAAGAAGGGGAACTACTCAGCCTGTGAAAACAGTGACAAAATAACGCCATTATGTCATAGTGACATCATGAGAGTTATACGGGTTCAAGTTTGAATCTTAACATTTTTAACAGAAGTCTCAACAGAAACTGGAGGTTTGGAGATTGAAAGACATGAATGTTCACCAGGCAGGGAGGGCCTAATGAAAAGATAATTGCATTATGGGAAATGTAGGTCTTAATAGAGGACTTAAGTTAAGATTTATTGCCTCTGCTGCTTCAGCTATGACTCATCTTTTTTTAATCCCTCCATTTTATTTATGTGCAAACTAAATTGCTAAAGAACGCCTTAAAATGTTTAGTCTATAAAATGTCAAAACATTGTTACAAATGCTCATCAGTGTGCCATACTATTTTTATTTGATATGTTATTTAAAGGTCAGTTGTGTAACAATTAGGGAGATCCGTTGGCAGAAATAGAGTATAATATGCATAACTATGGTTTCATTAGTGTATAATCACCTTAATCGCTATGTTTTGGGTACCTTAGAATGAGCCTTTCTATCTGCAGATGCCACAGCTCACCTTCCACCTCCATTAAATGCACCTGGAGGAGACGTGGAGCAAGGAAACACCGGTGTTTCCTACATGGAAGTCATTTATCAAGTGGAGTAGGTGTGATGTACAAATGCTGCACGTCCATATGTGGAACATGAGTGCTTTTTGTATGTTTGGCATGATTGAAAACCTAACTGACAAAATAAAAAACAAAGTAAACTACAATCGACATACACATATCCCTACGCATCAATGTGGTGTGTATTGAGCAGATAACAATAATACAAGTAAATCATCAGTAACCAGAATATTTAAAAGTGATATTCAATTATTAAAATCAACAACAGTAATAAACTGTTAAACTATGTTAAACAATTGACATATCTAAATGAATACTGTAAGGCTTTGAAATTGCTCTGTGGACATTGGTACCAGTCAGTTTGACAGATGATACAGCTGTGCAGCAGCAGCTGGTGTTGCTTACTGACGTTGTGAGCAAGGATTTCTCAGGTTTCGACTTCTCTGTCCTCGTGTCTCTCCCTCGCATTTCTCTCTCTCACATCCTCGCTGGGAGGAGCTAAGACATGAGGAAAGGAAGCGAGTGAGGGAAAACGAGGAGACACGTTAGCATAATGAAAAGCACCCAGGGCTGTTCAGGTTTTTTGTGCGAGGGAGTTGCAATCTACACGTTGTGAAGACCTGGTGTGGAGGAGGAGCTGACTGAAGTGGAGCAGGTAGTAAAGGGGCCTGGTCTGATTAGAGCCTATATATAGAGAGAGAACCCTTTTGCACTACCTGCAGCAGAACCCTGGGCTCTCACCGACAGCAACTGTTTGTCAAAGTGGAATAAAACCAGTGTCGATTGGTGCCAGCCTTTCCTGTCCTACAACCCATTGACTATATGAAGTGGATTCTTCAGATGTCTCACTGAGAGCACAGCTATAGTGTTAATCATTGTCCCTGGTTATCAGCCTGCCTCTGATACAGTCCTGAACAACATTTTACACTGCAACTTCACCGCTAGATGCCACTAAATCCTTTCAAACACGTATGCAGTAATTAAAACTGCCACCTATTGATCAACTCCTCGATTATCCATTAATGTTTCAACGCCAGCGTCTGGAGTCCGAGCTGGGCATCTTGAACTTTCTCCTCTTTACGTGCCAAACGCTGAGAAAACTGACACCGACAGAACAGCTTATCACTGTGAGAATAGCAGCTTTCTCCAGGCCCCAGGACACTGATAAGCAAGCAGCTTCAAAAGTTATCAAACACACTCCACCAACATTGTCGCAAGCCCACTGAGGTGAGAGAGGTTTGCCATGTAGTGTGTGTGAAAACAGAGTTAACATGTTGTGAGTGTTTACATGATACAGTAGTAGTTTTTAGCTCAATGGGGTCTATTCTCGGAGCTCTTTCATGCTGTCCCCCTGCTGTGCAAGTATGTGTGTGTGTGTGTGTGTGTGTGTGTGTGTGTGTGTGTGTGTGTGTGTGTGGGAGGATCTATATTCTCACACTGTCACCTGCTGCGATGCCTCAACTCAGATTGTGTACAAGTCTCAACCTCTGGCCCGAAAGTCCAAAGAGAGGTCAGCCTTCATCTTCCTCTGCAGCTATAACAACATGCATGCTGTATTAATGAGAGATATTCCAAGTCTCAATATAGACTACATCAAAGCAGTAGGCTACATGCATTTAGACTGATATCACATATCAAGTGCAGCTATCAGTAAATGCCCCTTAGTGGCGCACTGCGACTTCGTGACCATTTGACCTTGTCACCGTTTTCTGCAGGAGCCCCCACCGGCTCCACAGAACCGGTTATAAACTAAACACCTGCATTAACAGAGTTGTCAAGCACAGAACAACTTTGTTGGCACACCTCCCTCCCTCCCTCCCCTCCTCTACGGCTCAGTATTTTTGGGCAGGCTGTGTCAGCAGACTGAGCACCGTCCTTCACTTTCTACCACCGACACAATAGAAACACACTTACCCTCACACAACCGGCCCGCGATGCCCTCACATGTGAGCAGCACGTCGGTTCGTGGGCAACAACGCTCATGCATTCATCTGTCTTGTTTGTCTCTGCTCTCATTCAGCAGCAAAACTCAACTCAACGCTCCGCATTCATGCAGCTGGCACGGAGAGACGGGGCTGTGCGGTTACGGGGGGGGGGGGGAGGAGGATGGGGGTGTCTCCGACTGGTCCAGAGTCCGACAAATAGCAGGCCAGCTGGTTACTTTGGGATTTTTTTTTTGCAAATAAACCACCAGGTTATAATCATTTTGTTTTAAAACGTGCGTCATGAGTTCCAGATACAGATACTGGGTCAGAGGGAGAGAGAGGACACAGTCAATAGGTCTTTATTCATATAACAAACTACTGACTCTGTACAAGCCAAAGTACAGGAGATGTAACAAAACAGGGCCGTAGCTACAGGCCTTTGGTCCTGATGCAGCAGAGGGGACCATCTGTCACAACACTGTGTACCACCACCTACTCACTCATTTATTGATCAGCCAGCAAGCAATCGGAACTATAAAGCGGTCAGAGCAACCCTGTCTCCTGTAAAGGACATTTCTGTGCTGTTAGTTTGTTTTGCCGAAGACATTAGGAGGGAGACCTAATCGTAGGAAAGTGGGTGGATGGTGGGTGCACAAAGCTCAGCACTTAAATATAGGTCCCGCATGTGGTTTATAGGCAATAAAAACAGTTTAAAGTTAGAGAAATATAGTGGTTTGGTTTAATTGTTATTAAGGAAAACACACAAAACCAATGTTGTCAGTGTATGTAATGTAACGTGACTAAACTTGCAAGAAAGCATTTTAACGAGACTCAATTCGTGACACACATTTATGTAACATAGGCAGTGTACTGTCGACACAAAGCATCAGAGATTGTGTATACAGCCTGAATTTAAACAGTGGTTCAATAAATAAAAAGAGACACGAGATGACTAACAATATGTACTGTGATAACTGAGAACAATGTCGACAATCAAACACATTCATAGAGTGTGGGCCAGTAAAGATAAAAGAGCTGCATCTTCTCTGGTGACGACGAGGCTGCAGGTGGACGATTGAAGCTATCTGAGGATAATCTGATGATCATAGTGCTAATGAGGGAGGAAATGAGTTGTGTAATGCTCATTATTTTGCAAGACAGAAACAGTTAAAGATCAGCCTCAACCAGCTGATTGTTTTGCAGAATGCAGGAAGAAAATCGGAAGAAAGAAAAACAAACAAATGAATACGAAGAGGAGAAGAGAAAATTATTCTCCTACATGAGACATATTAGAAAAAAACTTTATTTCACAAGCTTTAACACCATTTTTAATTCATGTTCCTGCCTAAAATCATTTGGTAAACCACACTCTGTAAATAAGGCAACAGATGTCAAGCGAGGATTCACTTGATCCAGTAATCAGAGCTGTAAAAGACAAGTGTGCAGAGGTATGTGTGCAGAGGTATGTGAGGAACCAACTGTGCAGCAGCAGCAGCGTCAGTCATTCTGCCTTTTAATAGCAGAGCTCCACAATGCATGAAAGGTCCAGCATGTCATTTATAAATACTGGGATTAGCAATAGAAAGTAAACAATAAGACAAATGTATCATCTGGTATTCCTCAAGATTTTTCCTGAAAACAAACTGTCTTTGGATTTATCCCATGAATGTAAAACATCTAGTGCAGGAATGTGATTAGGCTGCAAAATAAAAACAGACATCCTGATCATTGTTTGAGTATCCAGCCAATAAACTCCAGAAAACCCATTACTATTCATGTTCTTGCATTTTGTCAGACAGTGTTTCCTCCCATCAACTCCCACATTAAAGACATTAACAGTATTGAAAATATTTTTTACATTTTTGGCCCGGCAATTTATTTCTGTGTTTGTCTGTGCATGTTTCAGCATCTACAGTGTGTCCACCAGATGTTGGCCGTCTTCCTCCACGTCAAACACACCCCATGGAAGATCATCCCAACAGATCTCGCCCTCCATCCATCTCCTCTGCACCAGAGACTCCCTTGGATCGCCTCCATCCACACCTGGCTGCAGATTTGGATTCCCCCTCACATGCTCTGGGCTTGCTGGGCGCTGTTGCGGAGGCTTCACTGGGTGGGTTGGCGAGTAACTCAATGACCCAGTTATGCAACCGAGGAGCAGTGGAATTTCTGATGATTTGCTTAGTGCGGGTGAAATTCTTCAACAGTCTATGGGTGCAAAATGTCACTTTTCACACACCCGGCACACATACAGAAGAATTACCAAACATAACCTCTCTTCTTGGGTTAATCTATGAGACACAGCCTGACCCACATAAAGAAAATCCCCCCCAGTTCTTTTAACTTCACAGAAGATTAACCTCTTACCCTCTTTGTTTCAGAAAAGTATGGGGACATTTTCTCTAATAGCCATAGTCTGGGTCGATTACTGCTGCTAGTACATACATAAGAATATACAGCACAGTGTGACAGCTACTTTGGTCTATGATTTAGCAGCGATTTGAACAGATCAGGCCAGCTGAAGATATAGATTTGAGTGACTGAATCCCCATTGAGGCTAGACATGAGCTGACATGTAGGAAACTGTTTCCCAAGGATCTAGGGGTGTTTGCTGGTGATCCTGCTTCTTTGGGGGGGGTTACATAACCAGATTAGGGTAGTGGGTTTTAGTCTTGAGGGTCACTGAGGCCTGATTAGCTCTTTAGTTTTACAATCTAAAATCTGAATCGCCTGAAGCAGCTTCCCAAACACAGAGATTCCTGAATGAGCTCCTGTTCTGTTGGAGATTTCTAGGCCTCTTGGGAGCGATCCAAGTTGCGCTTTTAGGCCTTTATAGTCCTTTTATTGGACCAAAAAGTTATGGATGAATAACTCAAAACCTGGTGACTTTGTGAATGTAATGTTGCAGCTGCCTGTCTATGAAAGTGAGAATTTATTAGCAGTTCAAATAAAATCTTTGATCAACACTGGACCGGGTCCCTGACGAATTCAGAGCCTTAGACGAAAAAAATCCAGAGCCTGGGGTTAAAACCATTGCTTGATAATAACGTTGTACCTTTGTGACAGTTGAGTTGTGGGATAAAAACACAGTGAACGGGCAAAAAATATAATGTTTTATTTAATAATTTAGCCTCAAATAAGAACATTTGTTGCGGTTTGTAGGCGCCCTCGCTGACTTGTAGGATAGCTGGGTAAATAAAGACTCCTGCAGTGCCACCTACTGGTGAAACATATTCCTCACAGATCAGAAACAGATTTAATCTTAAAGTTTTTGTCAACAACTGTTACTTCTCCTGTGGGCACTTACAAGTGGAGGCTGGTGTACAACTAAATTACAACCCGTTACAAACCATTAATTAAATATTTATATAGAGCTTATAAATACTAAATAAGAGAGGTTACAAAGGTGGGAGTATAGCAAACACATGAAATACATATTGCAAGGTCACAAGAGTTACACCACATTACACAGAAGAAAACTGATGTAAATGTACAGCTGAAATATCCTGTAGGTCCCACCACTGTCCCTCTACACCACTAAACGGGAAGGCCAGGGGACCTAGTGTCTCATCTCTCCCAAAGGGTGCAAATTACCTGGAGAGAGAGACAGAAGTTAACATATTAAGTAAGTGAGGTTTGTTAATACTTGTGAGATTGTGTCTGTGTGTAATACTTTGAGACCATCAGACTTCAGGAATGCTTACTGTATCCAACCCCTCCTGTTAGTCAGGCCGCCCCCAAGGACCACTTGAGTCGCTCGCAGGCCTGTCCTAAAAATGAAAATTGAATATTGATATTATCTGTTTCCCACCTTGTTAAGTCATTGTTGATAATTATTGCGAAAAATCATTAACGTGATCAGTTTCTTGAGTATCATTTATCATTAATAATAATATAACTAAAGGCAAACTGAGCAAATTTGTTATTTCAGAAGAGTGTATCAAACTGGTAGCCCTTCGTGTGACTCAGTACCCATGAAGTAGCTCTCAGTTTCAAAAAAGTTGGTGAGCCCTGCTGTAGAGTCTCTAAAACCACAAAAACGTTGCAATAGATAGTTAATGACTTTTATAAATCTCAAAGGAACAACTGGTAACCATAAATATTCACATGATGGTGTGTTTACAAAGTGCTTTGGAGAATTTAAACTCAGTTTGACCCGAACCATAATGTCAGGAAACATGTCTGTATTGGTTTTAGTCATTCATGAGGTTGATTCTTCCCAGAATCGCTGTCCCACTAGTAGTCTTATGTCAGCACTCAAACAAATGTAACCTCATCTGAAGCATGAATGCAAATACTGTGTGTCTTTGACCACACTGAAACTTCCTATAATAAAATATAATTTTCACAGTAACCTCTGGTGGATATGAAAGCTCTATAATATATATATATATATATATATATATATATATATATATATATATATATATATATATATATATATATTTTACATTACAGTAATCAATTAATTATGTGTGTGTGTGTGTGTGTGTGTAGTGGTAAATAGAGACTCTAAGTGATAAACTCACAGATGATTATAACTATTATATATATTATATTATATATTTATAACTCTGCAGCACCTACTACAGTTTTTCTTGATTGTTAGAACTTGCTTAATGAAACTGGGATCCACTTGATCTCCAGCTTCACCTTCTTAGCACATAACAAGTCTTCCCCTGCAAATGTGTTTTTAAAAACACTTTTTCATTGGCTGAACACATTTTTCACTCACTTTTTCAAAACAGTTAACACAGATCTCATAGAAAGACCCCGACAGCTGATAGACATGACTTATAATTCTGAATCTCTAATGCACCTGTGTGAAATGTTTGCACAACCCTTTAATCTAAGTCTAGTGCTTACTATGTCCTTACTGTCTTACACGTCAATGACTGGTCATGGGCACGGAAAGACCTGCACAAAAGAATAAAATGAATGAAGAGAACTTTCTTTTCAAACATTATTTCATCAAGGAATCTCAAAATAATGTAAGAAGTGGGGATGCAGAGTGCAGTAGGGTTTGTTATACATAGTTAAATCCCACTTATAAATTCATGCTGTGATATTGTTGCCTGTTCATATTGACAGCTGTATTCTGTTGTTCATTGTTAAATAATTTATTAAAATATAGTATAATATAGTAATTTGACCACAAGTTGTGTTGTTTGGTGGAAATATTTGCTTTTGTTGAATGTTGTAACAAATGAGAATAACTGTAATCAGTGCAACCTATGGAGACTAGGCAAGCATACAATTCATATACACTACTCACAAAAAGTTAGGGATATTCGGCTTTCGGATGAAATTTCAGAATGTACATAAAATGCACTAAAACCTTTCCAGGTGATCTTAATTTGACCTTCTACTTAAATGCCCTACTTTCATGATATAATATCACTGTAGCATCAACTTTTTACATTTTCCATAAATTTCACCCGAAAGTGGAATATCCCTAACTTTTTGTGAGTAGTGTACATCTATAAAGAATATAATTTCCAATAATAAATGAACAATAAATATGTACTTTGGTTAAAATGAAGCTGTCCTTCAAGGAATATTCTACTTTTCCATGTAATTAGTACCAAATAACACAGTTCTCAACAGTGCAAATGACGGACCTGTTAAATAAAGCATTACTCTGAATAAAATCTGTTGTTGAAGTTTATTTTTATTTGACAAGCTGCTGCTGAAGTGGACAGCACACCTGCTGCATAAAACTATACTGATAAAGGTGGTAAAAAGTTCCAGGTTGTTCTTAGTTAACTAATTACTTTAATTAATGTTTACAACAAGTCTGAGCTAAACCAAGCACGTAGATTCAACATCCTTTAAATCCCGCTACACAGAAAGTTTCAATTTCAGCCATCTGAAAACCATCTTTCTAGTAAAATATAAGGATTTTTTTTACACAAGGATGAACAATATGGCATCTGTTGCCTCTGACAGGCTCTTCTTACTCTGAGCATACTGTGACTGATCAAGTTATCAATCATGAACAGAGAGCTTGTTTACTCCTAAGTTGGCTCTTTAGCAGTATTTGATGAGAAAGTCAGTATTTCTGAGCGTGAGTCCCTAGGTGGTATTTCAGGTGTGCGCTCTGTAGAAACCCTCTGCCGCAGATGTCACACTGGTGCGGTCTCTCTCCCGTGTGGCTCCTCAGGTGCTTCCTCAAATGTCCGCTGTGGGTGAAACTTTTAAGACAATAAGAGCAGCAGAAAGGCTTCTCTCCCGTGTGAATCCTCATATGTATCTTTAAGTCTCCTTTCCGGCTGCACTCTTTCCCACAGACGTGACAGCGATGCAGCTTCACCCCGGCGTGGCTGGCCATGTGTTCGGCCAGAGCGGTCGTGCTGTTGCAGTGTTTACCGCACGCGTGACAGCATTTCGAGCCCTTGTGCAGTTTGAGGTGCAGGTTGAGACTTTCGGTGGACTCTAAGGTCTTCCCACACACGGCGCAGAGGACATCTTCTTCCTTCGAATGCATGCGAGAAGCGTGATTTATCAGGTGGTGATTGGAGGAAAAGCATTTATCACACAAATAGCAACGATAATCAGGTAAAACCGAATTCAAATGGGATAACTCGGTGGAAATGGTAACGGCGCTCTGACTTTGGTCTGTCTGTGTTTGGTTTGTAAAACTTGCAGCAGGTCTTTCGTTCTCCCTTCCATCTTGGACCCTTTGATTTTGGATCAGAGTTTGTGAAGTTGAGGCGAGAGGTAGAACGAACTGATGTACAGTTTTAGTTTCCTGCAGCTCCTCAAACTGCTCCTCACTGTCACTGTTTTGAGTCTGAAGTGGTTTCGTGTCCCCCTGTTCATCCCAGGCAGATAAATGAGGTAGGTGTGAGACATCAGCATCCTTAAACTCTTGGACCTGTTTGTCTTCTTCCTGTCGCTGACTGGCCCAGAGTTCAGGATCTTCCTCTTTAATGTGTCGAGGCTCCGGGTCCCTCTGACAGACACTGCGGCTCGGCTCCCGCTCACAGTGGTGTTGCTCGGAGGGAGTTTCCTCTTTACAGATGGACGACTGAGAGAAGTCTGGAGAAAAAAAAGGAGTAAATAATTTAAACCAGCTTTCCCATTCTTATTTCTTTATCAGTGATTAAGTCGTGGATCCTGCCAGATAGAAGTTGCTAATATTGACAATATCTCCATCAGGGCTGCAACGTTATGATTTCACACATCTTCAAATGTCTTATGTGGTTTGACTAAAGTTCTTCAAAGATGAGAAGAGTTAGAAGAATCCAACACTCTGTTACAAGAGTTTATTCATACTTTGGTAAAAAGAAATAAAAAAAATAAAAAAATAAATAAATAGGAAATCATTAAGGACTTCAGAGACCCATCAGCACTAAAGACTGTTTACTGTCTTGGCAGTATGTCTCAGGTAAAAGTATGTTTTTTCTTTTATATGTGATTTGCAGCCTAAAATTACAGCGTACAGGTGTTTAATAAGTTGTATACCACAGTATCATTCGTCAAATCGCTCAACAATATCGTTTGCAGTTGTTGTCGTTATAGTTGTGGTGTGGACTCCATCCACTTGAGTTAGAACCATTTAAAAAATATATATTTATAATTATTGTTATAGTTGTGTGAACGGGCTGAAATCCAAAGATATTCAATTAACTATCATGTGTGACAAAGATGATCATCAAATCCAAATGACAAACAATTATCTGATATGATTATCAGTAGCTGATTCATTTTCTGTTGATAGACTAATTGATTTATTGACTAACTATTACAGCTCTAATTACAATATTGATAAACTTGTTAAACTTGTGGTCATTTAATTGAGACAAATAGTATATTCAGTGTAACTACATTTTAAAAAATGATATAAAGTGTAAAGTATGGAAATAAAATACAGAAATATATTAATATAGTAATTTTTTAATCACATTATTTAACTTTCCTGCTCACTATATATGTTGGGCAAAACTAAAAATCTCCAGTACCAATACTTTAGATTATAGATTATAGATTATAGATTATAGTATTGCCCTTATATCAATCAGGGTCTGATGTTATCTATCAAGTTGATAAGAAGTGTTCATATTTTATTTGTCTTTCATTGGTGTAGTACAGACAACCAAATAATGAACCAGTAAAGTAAAATGTGGTTATTTTATTAATCAAGAAAAACAACCCTTACACACTGTGTATATTTCATTTCACAAACATGACACAGGTTGAGTTAATAGCTTGTTTGGAAACACTTGGTTTTTATCCCAATTTTAGACTTTGACACACAAACAGCAGCCTTATTGATTCACACACACACACACTAATCCCATCACATTAAATAACTAATAACAATTTAACAGCCATTTCCTCTACGAGAGGACACTCTGACCGACCTTTAATCTAATCATTTGAGTCCAGACTGACACTGACACAGACTGTATACATTATATACATTATATACATTATATACTACATTATATAGTGTATTATAACTAAACAGACCTGTTCTCTGGTTGGTCACAAACTCCAGCAGTAAACCTCGGAGTCGTTCAATCTCCTGTTGTGAACTGGACGCTTCCTCTTCATATTTGTTGATTGTTCTTTCAAAAACCTGAAATATTTCCTCGGCAGCAGCTGTCAGACGCTCGTTCACGAAAGCCCTGATAATCAACCGAGCAGACATTTTAAAATCACTGTTATATGAGTGCGAATAACCCCGAGAGGAGCTTTCATGTACGTATAGTCGTTTTCGTGTGGTGCTTGCTTAAAAGCTACGGAAGTAACAATAAACAAACCACAGAGCAAGAATGTTGGTGTCGACGCAGCTCGGAGCTCTGCTGCCCCCTGTCGGACAAAACAGGGACCACAGCTAAATGCAGAAAGGTGTCATTATCAATATTTTAACTTTGGTGGAAGTGGCTAAATACATATTCAAGTACTGTACTTGAGTACAGATACTTTTACTTTACTTTAGTATTTCCATTTTAATCAACTGCAACGTTTAATCAACTCCAAATGCAAATATTGTACTTTTTACTCCATTACATTTGTCAGATAGCTTTAGGTACTAGTTACTTTTTCAGATTATTTTAGAGTTTTCATACCCTTCCTGACAATCATTCACCTCCAAATTTTGTGATTTAGTTACTTTTTCTGATAAACTGAAGCATTAAGTGTTCCTCTACTGGTCGTTAAAGTGAAATTATTTTAAAAACCCTCTCTGTTTTTATGAAAAGAGATTTAACTTTAGAGAGACGTGATTCTCACAGGACAGCAACATTACAAACTCAATCTTATAGAATATGATGCATTGATATACCGTATATGAATTTGTTCAATTAATACAAATATTAGCATAACTTTAAAAACCTACAGCAGTAAAATGCAACATATACATCAAAGTCACAGCAGCACAAGAAAGACAGGAAATCAACAAAGAATTGTTTAACATTAAATGAATAAAATGAAATAAGAAATAAAACAAATTACATGAAATGAGAATTGTGCAAATAATTGTGAGCATTTGTGTCTGCCCAAAATAATAATAATAATAATAATAATAATAATAATAATAATAATTACAAGTTAGGAAGCCTTGAAGTGTGACTCACAAGCATAAGAAAATAACTTTTTTTTTACTGGAGGAGAGAGGAAATCTTTTTAAAAGTTTCAGATATTTGCTGTAGTACACGGAGAGAACATTTAAAAAAAGAATGGAAGAAGGAAGAAGGAAGACGGGACATTTATCAGAATTAATCTGTGCATGTAAATGTACAGATGTAGTCACTGTACAAGCACAAACATGCTATTTCACAGGTTGTTAATATACTTGTAGGGTTGTACAATTTAAGAATCAAACAATAAGAAACGTGACACTCTTCTGCCAGCTGCCTGATAAACAAACTGAGGAAATAAAACAGGGGTGCAAACAGGAAATTCCTACACCTCGGTTTCCTTTGACAGTTCTGTGAAAACCAGATGAGAAGTGAACAAACGCACCCAGTTCTGATGCAGCTTGCAGGTGCTGCAGCCTGTGGGTTGGGTGAATGCATGTACATAAACAGGTATGTATTCCAGCAGATACTGCTGGAAATATGGTACGACCTTAACCTTGACTTACATCAAAAAACACGACGAGTGCAAGAAAACCTGTGTGAGTGACATCAGTTTGTTAATAAGCAGCCCTGTTTAAGAGAAGGAGCCTGAATCGTGACCTGTGCCCACCGCTCACAGTTCTCGCTCTTGTTCACCCACTTGACCATCTGTCCCACGCTGAGCTCAGAGGAGATGAAAGGACAGTCGTGATGTGAGCTGTACCTGGCAGCGTGCACCTCCATCTGCAGCAGGTACAAACAACAGCGACAAGTCTGCATGGAAGAAAAACGTTAACGGATCATCGGCCTTCTGTTGTTTTCACAAACTAAATGTTGTATTCTGTGCTCATTGTGTCAAAAAATATAAATAAAATCAGTGAGTTGTATTGTTTTATATTTCTTGATGTTTTATGCAAAGCCATTGTTAATGAAGGAGTTTAATCATGTTAAACTGGCTCTGTTTTAGGTGCAGCACTGTGTGGACATCATGCTCTATAATGTGAGAAATGGGGCACTTGCATGCGTTTGTGATCACCACCAGAGGGAACTAAATAGTTAAAGATACAACACATCTAATACAGTCAAATTTAGAGCTTCATTGTATCAAACGCTTCCTGCCCATTGAGAGAAAACAGAGCAGGCATGTTGAGTTTTTATCATCTTGACTAAAATGAGCAGATATATCAATAGTTGATATATTAAAATTAATTAAAATGATAAATTATATTTAAAGTTAACATGAATGTATAACAGTCTCTCTCAGAACCCTGACAGACATTTTTAAATCAAATGTATAGACAATAATATAAGATCTAGTGCCCCAAAAACACAAGATAGAATCAACAAATATACGATGATGTGTTATAATAATGATATAATAAGAAAGAAATAAGATTAAGCTACCCAGCAGTATAAAGTAACTTAACCAGCTGCGACATGAAAGTGATGCTAATGTATTAATGATTATAAATCTAATAATATAATGTATATGTATTCTGAAATTAGCCATTCTAATAATCAAAATGAACACTTTTACTTTTGGTACTTTTTTTGCTAATATATTTTTTTTAGCATTGTAAAATGTTTAATTATTATTTAAACACTATCGTATTGTCTCATTTACTTAAATATCCTCTCCAGACATGCAAACACACATACAAATAGTCTTTTTAAGTATAATTTCCACATTAAAATCCATAAAAAGTCATCTACTTCTTCTACCTCATTAAAAATTACTATGAATCTATGAATATGCTAATTGTGTTAATTTCTGTAGTTTTCCTGTCTCCTACTTCACTGTAAAGTCAGTTCACAGTGTCTGTGCACTGGTGGCTTCAGTCTTCTACATCACATTTGTATAAGTTGTAAACTGGACCAGAGTAAAGGGAATGCACCAAGATGATTCATTTTCTATCTGAATCCAGAAACTCATTAAAGATGTGGGGCACAATAGTTTTATTGAACCCTAATTAAAGCAACTAGTGTCTCATCTGTGTCAGTCTTTGCAGTCTTTATTTATTTTTTTGGGTTCACACTTGGGTAATTACCCTTGTACGCATGTGCGAGAGGTGTGCGTGTGTGTCTGTGTCTCTCGCGTCCAAGCGTTGCCTTGGAGGGAGCTCCTTCACTCGGCTATCTTTGGTGCAGCAGCGGCAGCAGCAGCAGCAGCGCGGTGCGACGGGGCGCACACTGAGTCAGCCAGCCACCCAGCAGCAATGTCGGAGAGTGGGAGTCAGGAATCCGCCGCGGCCCCGAACGGCAGCGACAGCCCGTCAAAGAGAGCTCAAAGACCGGCCGTCGGCAACAGAGTGACCGTGGTGCTCGGAGCTCAATGGGGCGACGAGGGGAAAGGAAAAGTTGTGGATCTTCTGGCACAAGACGCCAACATGGTGTGCAGATGTCAGGTCAGTAAACCCACCACGCTGCATTCACTTGCTCGCCCCCCACCCACCTCGGTGAAGCTAGTAACACCAGCAGGTAGCTAACCAGCTAAAACAAGTGAGTTCCTGGAAGCTAACCACAGTTTTGCTAGCTAACATCTCAGCCACTGTTGTTGTTGTTCACACTGTGTTTCTTTTTTTTTTTTTTTTTTTTTTTTTTTTTGCTAATGTCACCTTGAATTCCTGCTAGCTGCTTAGCTGCTCGGACACCTGTACTGCTGTGGTGAATTGTCTCCTGTCGTGTGCACATGACAAAATATCTGAAGGTACCTCTGGCTAACTACAGGGACCAGGTGCATCACCCCACACACACACACACACACACACCGGGGTTTTTATCCCCCCCCGGCCACCATTGTGTGTTAAAGCTAGCTGGCTAGCAGCAGGACTCGACCAATGTTGGCAGCAGTTTGGGTTTTAATTCATTCTGGCAGAAGTTTAATCACACAGCTGGGCGAGATAATGTTAATATTAAACTGTGTCATTGTGGGATTGTGGTCGGTGCAGTTTCCTTATCTTAATGCCTTTTTTAAATGTGTTTTCCTGGTCCTGAAGGCTGCATTAGCCAGATTAAAGTGATCAAATATGTAATCTGTTGTAGCTGAGTGAAATGACAACCCACAGTGCTAAATGTAATTTTTAATCTCCAAATTAGTTTAGATGTTATAGTGAAACACCAAAAATGTCCCCACATTTGTTGTAATATACTGACAACTTTGAGTTTGTTAGCATCAATTCAGCCAATCACCTCTCTGTGTATTAGGATGCTGTCTGTTCTCTTTTAAACAAACTTATCTTGATCCTGCAGGGTTGCTCTTGTACATATCCATATACACACTGTCCTGCTCTGAGGGGCCTAAACATACAGGACCTTATCATTTCAGACAGGCTGGGGAGGGTTGGGGGGTCATTGTGCAAAACAAGACAACAGTACATGCGTAAATGCGTTGATAACATTTACGTAAGTATGTCGGGACGTACACACAGATGTTCTCGCCAGAGCCAATCTAACATCAGGGTTTAATGGGTGGGTTAAAGTGTGCGGAGTTGTGAGGTGTAGCCTTAAATGGATTATGAGTGATCGTCAATAGGGGCTGTGGACGCACACAGTATGTAGGCCTACGGAGAGAGTGATTGTCCAGCTAATGGCGAGTTGTTATTAACCTTCAGTGTTTCAGATTGTTACCGTATTTTATCTTATCAAGCTCTTATTTTAGTGATATCCATGTGACTCCTCCACTTACTTTTTATCTGGACATTGGCCCGGTTGATCAACCTCTACCACTTTGTGTTAAATTTGCTTTTTTCCTTATGAAAAAATGGTGGAGACTCTGAAATGCTGTGAGTGGTTGTCTTGGACGTGAGACATGGCCAGAGCTTTCTCCTGGATGTCCCCGGTCTCCCTGAACTGGTGTAGGGAGTGAAAGCAGGAGAGGGGAGGACGGAGCTCCGGCATAAAATGTTTTAGAAAGGCTTCTGCTTTAATGGCCGAGAGCCACATCTACTCCAAGAAAGCTGAAGTCCGACCAGCCTGTAGGGGACTGGTCATATTTGGTCTGTGTTGTACGGTGTGTAACTGTATACAGTGTATTCACTCCACATGTCCAGAATAATAACCACCTCTTCTTTTGACGACATTGTCTGGGAAACAAAACACATTTGACCAGCTCAGCTCGGCTTTGTGCTATAACATTCAGCAATGTGGAGCACTTCCTATTTCTTTTTATTTTTTTTAATAGACTTCAAACTGTCACAGCCTCTCAGTAGTTCCTGTTGACACTTGCTGCTGTAGAGTCTGTGTGGGGAAACTGATCTGTGCTAAAGTAAAACAGGCAATAAAGTCAGAATGACAAGCTTACTGTACAATGTTTTTGTATGTTTGAATCTTTTTACCACAGATTAATTCAAATACATCCTGACATATGTATGTATGTTATACACAGAAGACAAACACATATTCATACATTTGGATGAAAGAAGAGTAGGAATTTGGCCACACAATAACACTATGCTAGGAGCACATTTTGATCGGTACCAAAAAAGGGAAAGTGCAATAGAGCTGTAACAATTATCTAATTGATTGATTAGTCAGTCGAAAGAAAATTAAGTCCTTTTTCCTTAGCCTTCTAAATAATACAGACAATCTCGCTAATCTTTTGTCTGCTTGTGTTTAATTCTGTGGAGTTCAGAGGACTATTAGTTAACTCCGATGATAACAAGTTGACATAACAAGGATTCTCTTGAGCTTCTGAGCGTCCCTGTTCCTGCAGTTCTGCCAAGGCAGGAGACGTGTAAAAATAAACCGCTTTCTGGCAGTGGTCTGCCACAGCGTCCCCTCTATACATTATGGTGTGTGTGTGTGTTGGGGTTGCGTGAGTGAGCAGCGAAGTGCTTCGTTGATCTTTTTATAAAATAAGCTTTGCCAGCAGTCTTGCTCGGTGTTCCTTACAGTCCTCTCAGATCCTAGAAGAAGCGGGGGGCGGAAGGGCAGCACAACATATCTCAGGAGACTGATGGCAGAATAGTCAGTAGTCATTATTGTGGAATATCATATGTCCATATCGTGCCTCACCAAGCAAATGGTGCACATATTCTCTCATTAGCCTCCTTAAAGGCTCCAATGTACTCGATTCAAAGTTGTATTTGGCTGTACTGGTTGAATAATCCAAAAGAAAGTTAACACAACACACTGCCGATCGATCTACTGGAATATAACTGACTGCCTTTAGTTTCATGTTAAATTAGACTTAAAAATGGTACATGGTTGCCAACATCAGGGCTTAAGGTGACCTTGAACCTATTCAGGAGGTGGTTTCTGTGCTCACCATGACACCCTGCTGCTCAGAGATTCACTACACAGGTGCTTGATACAAGACAAGGAACTGACATTCAATATCTGATTGTCTTCTTTGACACAAGATCAAATCTTTAGTCAAGTGTTCTTTTACAAAAGTTCCAAACATGTCGTCGTTCCAGCTTCTCAATTACATGAGTGTAAACTCAGTATCTTTGGCTGTTAGACTGTTGGTCAAACAAAACAAAACATTTGAAGACATCTCCTTGGTCTGTGGGAGATTTTAAAACTATTCAGTAAGGAAATAATTGGCACTTGGCAGACTAATAAGTTTGTATAATAATTGTTTGTTGCGTGCCTTATGCAAAGTCACATTTCCAGTTATTTTACACAAAAGATTAAGCTTGATGTAGAGTGCACAGTTAGGTGTAACTAAATTAAAGGTTTTGTTTATTCAAATCTGCTTCTGAAGAGTTTATACAAGAACTTACATTTTATAATATATTTTCTATGAAAATAACCAGAATTTTTGACTGAAGACTTAACAATATGTTATAATAACCCCTACGATTGTTTTATCTTAATCATCTATCATGATTACTCATTTTTGATCAATTTTCTGTGGATAAACTAATTAAATGTTTCTAATGACCAAGATGTTTCAGCTGTAGCACGTGTCTGCCATTTCATACCGAAGCAGATTGGTGTGAGATCAGGTAACATGTGTTGATCCAATGGTTTATGCTGGTCTATCCCAGCTCCTTGCTTTTAGTCTGAAAGAGGTATGAGGTCTGAACTTCCATTGGTCTGTCATTCCCGATTTTATACCAAACCCTTCAGGCCTGTACTTTTCCATACTTTGTTTCTGTGAATGTCAAGTCCATTTTCTTTATATAACCCAATATCAGAAACCACAAATGTACCTCAGTGGTCTTTACAATCTGTACAACATATGACACTGTCCTTTCCTTACGAAAAATTGGAAGAAGCCTCAGGAAGACACAGGTGCAATCTTTCTTCGTGCAATAAATGTCGTGTGTGCAGAATTGACCAACGTAGTAAAATTACATTATGGACAGATTGTGAAGAATGTGTCTCCATCTGCTGTGTCTGGAAAATCACTGAGCTCAGGTAGTGTAAGCTGAACACCACCAGGCTAAACATCTTCCCTGACACCATTCTGTTAAATCAAATCCTTTCTCTTATTGTGAATCAGTGTTGCTGTAGAGAACAAACCACAGCACAGTAGCACAGCAGCAGGTGTGTATCAAAAGTTGAGATTCTCGTGATGGGAATAAGAGGCTGATCACGGGGCCGTATGAGTACCAGAGTTATGTTTGGTGGCGCGGGGGGTGGATCGTAAAACTATTTAAAAAGGAGAGGCATCTGCCCCCCCCCACCTTCAGGGTACTGCTGTGGCCAGGAATAACCCCATGTGGTCAAAGCACATGCTGGGCTTGATTTATGTCCGTGGGCTACAGCGTTAGGAACACATCCTGGTCACAGGACAGACTAAGTTTAATTGGCACCTCAAGGTAGTGAGGAGTGACGCAAGCTGCAGAGGCATGAATGGACCTGAAGCTGCGTTATCGTCACAGAGAAATTAACATTTCAAATACTTCATTAATTTGTCCTCCTTAGTTTTTTGTGCTTTGCTTGTGTTCTTTTCACTGCTGATATCATCCTCTGTTTCCATCTGCACGTCCATGAGTGACTGTGAAATGTAAAACAGAGACGAGCAAAGCATTTCATATTGTGAAGTTCTCATCCTAGGACTCACTGTTCCCCTTTCTGGGCTCCACTTTAGCATTTTTATTTCCATTGTCAGCTGTGCTAAATTATGTGCAAGCCTGTATGTAGCGTCAGGTTTAACTCCCAGCAAGCACATATTGTCAGTGTTGATACAGTTGCCTGTTGTGGAGGGGTCAAACACGCCGTGTAGTCTTCCTTTCTCAATCTGAATGAATGTAGAGATAAAATATGATACCAAAATAAAATACAATGTGTAACTAAAACAAATGCTCACAGTCATGGCCTGCCGATATACTGAGCCGCCCAGAATTGACCTCTGTTGCCCCAACAGTGTAACATCACATATTGAAGGCTGTAATATTCTCTTGTCTCATCACTTTGACTGCCTCTCATATTGGTCATGGACTGCCTTACTTTATGAACATGGTTTTCAGCATCTTACTTCATGTCAAACTATACTTTCTTTATTTCTGTCACAGCCCGGCTCTGATGAAACTTGGACAGCTGTACTATTAATATTTTCCAATTGTTTCACGTCCTCTCCCATCACTATACTGATTTGTTGAAACCTGGTATGTTTTTGTCTGCTAATGTCCGACGGCAGGACTTGAAGCTCCGTAGTGTGAAATTCTTCTTGCTCTTTGGTAGCATTTTTGTGAATGGAAAAATGCCCACAAACTGAGCCTCAATTGTCAATTTTATTGGTGTAGAGTATGCTAATGATAAATTGTCACCTAGTCATGAAGAGGTGGGATTCATTTGATTCAAGTGTGTGCAAGTGAATGAAGAAGTGATTCTTGCATGAAGCTCATTGACTGTCCAAGCTTTGGTTTGTTTGTGGTCGTGGTTTTATTATTCCATTTATTATGATTCATGCCAAAAAAGGAGAGCTTTCTCATTACAAGGTTGTAACGCAACACATTATTCCTCCAGCTAGTTGTTTGTTGTTTTGATGTAGGAGTTGGGAGCATCATGTCTTGACAGGCCGTGGTTTTGGGTGTAGAACATTATTTACATAATGTTTAATCCATAGTGCCAGAAATCCGTTGTACTTGTCGGTTTACACTGGAGTCTCTAAGCAACAGCACAGAGCAGCAAACATACTAACAGGCAGAGGCCAGTGGTTTATGTACGATGCTTGTTGCTACTTGCCAAACTATTCAGGCTGCCTTCCAGTTGAGCCAAACAAAGTTGCAGAGCCCCCATTAGGCTCATGCCTCTCTGTGTTTCTGTTTGTCTCTCCTCATCGGTCTCTGTCTGTTCTCTGCAGGGCGGCAACAACGCAGGCCACACGGTGGTGGTTGACTCGGTGGAGTACGACTTTCACCTCCTCCCCAGCGGCATCATCAACCCCAAGGTCACCGCCTTCATTGGTGCGTAATGCACACAGATGCACACGCACATTCACTCACACACAATTACACACAGGCTCTCGCTCCAAGGCCATTTCCCTCGCTATTTTCTTGATGAATTGATCGAAACTCCTTTTAGCCTGGTGCTCGTCATAGCCAGATAATGGCCTCCATTTTGATGACTGCAATAGTGAGTGCGATCAACTTGACTCAGAGCCAGACTGCAGGCTACATCACATCCACTCATCGGCTGTAACTTCATTAGCTAATGGTTTTTTTACTCTTTCCTTCTGGCTTCCAACCCTCCACACAGCTGCACTGCAACATGTACAAGTGTATGATCTGTCGATACTCAATCACATTTCTGCTTTTTTTCCTCTTTGATATATGACTCATTAATGCCATTCTGCAGACTCACACACTCAGAAACACGTGTACCATGGTGTGGCAAGTGTGACATGCACTTGGATCTATGGTTTTTCAGTGCATGTTGGACTTGTCATAGCCATATTTATTTTCATCACATTAGTTTTATTAGTTAATCTCTTCATTTTGAATATTTAAAAACAATAGAAATGGGAAGAATTAAATTGCTGCCACATGGCTTTTTCTGAGCCGTTTGTCAAAAGCCAAGCATTGACCCCAGCAGCAGACACAAAGAGCATTTTAATAACAATACATTCAATTTGGTGTATGCTTTTATTCCACAGTGCCCAACAGTACTGTAACTGTATACTTAGGTACTTAGGTGAAACCAGATTTTGTTGTTATGTACTACTATCAGGACACAGTGAAAATTTAAGCAAATATGACAAAAAGTTACTTACTACTTACTTACTACTAAAAGTTACCTACTTTTATGAAATGCCAAGTTCATTTCCTGTGATCTGTCTGCTGAGAACAGCCTCATAGAATTGATATTTGACGATTCTTCATCGTATAGCCTAAACAAACAAAAAGAGTTTTTGATGCTATTAAAAAAGAATAGAAAATTAACCCAATCTAGAGCTTTTACTGCTATCATACCTTGACCTCTCAGTTATTACTACATGTGCTTGTCATTCTAGATGTATCTTTCAGCAACAGGTAAACATTTAGTATTATTGGTGTTTCTTGGTAGAACTTACAGATAAACATATTTTTCAAACAGTTGTCCCATCGTAGAGACATTTTTCTGAATATTTTACTGTCATTCTCCCTGTGTGTTAAAGTACATTCATGGCCTCCAGCCCTGGGAGCAAATCTGTGTTCAGGTCTTGAGCTGCATATCTCGCACTCTAATTCACACAGTGTCAAGAGTTTGTTGTTTTTCCCCCCATTTTTTACATTTAATTAGGTCAAAGTAATTACCTCACCTACTCCCCTAATGCAACTTATTCTGATTAAAAAGATTATCAGGGCCAGCTGTTTGAATACTCCTGTGAACAGGCATCGTTTGTGCCAGCTCTGTCTGACAGAAATACATCCCTTAACATCACAGTTGGGCTGTCAGTACACACTGGGGGCGGCTCTCACATTGTCAGACATTGACTGTGGTTTAGATGTAACTTATAATTAGACTTCGGATAGCCTTTAGACTGTGCATCAGCAATGAGTGTATTGTGCCTAACACAGCGCGAGATGGGTAATAAAATCTTGTGCGTCACATTATCAGTTTGAGGCTTGTTCGATGGATGACTGGTGAATCACAGCACTATAATGTAAATTGGAATTACAATTACGAACATCCAATAAAACAAAGAAAGGTCCCACAAACGTTTTATTTTGTTCACCTCCATCGTTTTGGTTTGTGTGTATTCTATAGATGTGGGTCACAGGAGTCAGTTGGGGTCATCTAGAGAATGATAAAGGTGTAACTTTGCACACAACCATGAAACTCTGTATGGTCCTTATTTGACTGTAAATTTAAACATCACCTAATTTATGTTTTTGTCCTCAGGCAATGGTGTAGTGATCCACCTTCCAGGTCTGTTTGATGAGGCAGAAAAGAACGAACGCAAAGGTAAAGGTAAGTGACGTCCAGTTGTTTTAAACTCATAAAGTGTATAACAGACAGTAACAGGACACGACGGTGCTTTAATGTGTGGAGACTTAAAGTGTATTTGTGTGTGTGTAGGTCTAGAAGAGTGGGAGAAAAGGTTGATCATCTCAGACAGAGCACATATTGGTAAGTGATCCCCGGACACTTTTGTGTGTGTGTGTGTGTGTGTGTGTGTGTGTGTGTGTGTGTGTGTGTGTGTGTGTGTGTGTGTGTGTGTGTGTGTGTGTGTGTGTGTGTGTGTGTGTGTGTGTGTGTGTGTGTGTGTGTGTGTGTGTGTGTGTGTGAGCCCTGCTTTCTCTGAGGTGTGTGAGAGTGTGTCCCCTCTCTCCCTCCTCCGCAGTGTTTGACTTCCACCAAGCAGTTGATGGCGTTCAGGAACAGCAGAGACAAGAGCAAGCAGGCAAGAAGTAAGAAACCTCTTGCTTAAAGATGGCTACCACACGCACACACTTATCTTGGATCTTATGAGTCACCACCAAAATCCATGGATGTGCATACTCTGGATCAACTATTCAGTGTGTGTTTGTAAAAGCACTCAAAACACGCAAGCAGCTCACGGATAAAAACAGTATCAACAGTAATAACAGTACTTGTACTTGTTGATTTGGTCTAAAAAGAAACTGGTATTGGTGCATCCCTACTGGTGTCTGAGTTTAGTTATCACCTCTTACACTACACATAAATGTCACATTGACACACGCAATATCAAAACTGCTCTGCCTGGAGGTGTTTTCAGAGAGGTCAGACAGAGTTATTAGCCCGGGCAGTGAACCATAGAGACATATGTGAGGAATGTTTAGCTGAGTCTGTGCAGCATTCAAAATATCAAGCTCAAGGGAGACGCAATATATTCCGGTTCAAAGCTTGGTTGTCTTTACCAGCTCAGCAACCAAAGCTCCAAACACCAAGCCAGCTACTTTTTGTGTGCAAGTGTGTGTGTGACAGAGAAATTGCATGTTCACGGGGGTGTCTTAATGGCAGTCATTATAAGCTTTCAGCAGATTGCTATGACGGGCTGGTGGGTTTCCAGTACCTCTAGATATCCTGTGAACTCTGCTGCTGGAAGTCAGAGTGAGATAGAAGAGTTTTGACATTGCTTATCCGGATGTCTACATTTGAATCACCAGGTAGTGTTATGCCAGGTGTTGTCTGTGTAACCAACCTGTAAATAACCTGTATGATCTTGGCTGACATTTAGTTGGAGATGACAGTCATGTTACCTGCTGCTGCTGCTGCTGTATTGTAAACTATGACCCAAAACAGGGCACAGCCTATTTCTGGTCTGATTTACAGCAGCAGGGATCATAAAGTGCAGAATATGGCCCAAAGTGTTAAGAGTTAAGTAAGACTCAGTGATATTCCTAGAAGTTAAAACTACTGGTACTGGGTCCGGAGGTGTTTGATGATGATGATGATGATGAACTTTGAAACTGTAAAAAGACACGTTGTAGACTGAGATCACATGCTAATGTTCCTATCGCCTATGTTTTTCCCCTCCCTCCTCTCTTGGCCCCGTCCAGCCTCGGGACAACAAAGAAGGGGATTGGTCCAGTGTACTCGGCCAAGGCTGCCCGTAGCGGTCTCAGGATATGTGACCTGCTGGCTGACTTCACTAAGTTCTCTGAAAGGTCTGTGCCAATAGTACAGGATTATGTCTCTGTCTGGTGTTTTGTTTAAATAAGTAATTGAATTGTTTCTTTTATGCCTTACAGCCCCTTTCCCTTACCGAAACTTTTCCTTTAACCAGGAAACAAAAACTTTACCTGCATTTCAACCACACACACCTAACTTCCGTTTTATTGCCTGAAGTCCATTGGCTCTTTTAAACCATGGCGTTTCCGTTTCCTTTATCAGCTTAAACGCGTTAAGCTGTGTCATGCGTGGCAGGGACCAGAGAGACGGATGTTTTTAATAGTCTCAGGAGTTTTTCCAGTTCTGAGTACTTTTGTAGCTTCTAACTGAATCTCTGTGGTTTGCAGTTTAGTTTCTCTGCTGCCTCCCTGTATGGAGTTGTGTAAAGCTACTGCTGATGAAAATCTTACTGCTTCATAATAAAAGCTTTTAATAAACAAAATAACCACAGTTTTATTGTGAAGAATTCATAGAAAATAAATGTGTTTATTGCCAAATTAGTAGAGCTTAGTTGGTGACTTAAACTGGTATACATACGCCTGCCCCTCTATTCCTTTTAATCTTGACCTCTCGGCCATCGCTGCCTTTTTAAAGACACAACTTCAAGCAGGTAGCCCCGTAATGGACATGCAAATCCCTGCCTCGCTGTGCTGATGCGCCAAGTAAGTCATTGCGGCTGTGAAAAAGGTCTATCGCAAGTGGAAATACGACGTTCACGTTACAAAGTGCTCTACCAGGAATGTGCAATTGCACGTATTTGATTGGTTGGATGACCTCATTGTGCGATCCAGCAAAAGTTCATTTTTTTTGCCGACGACACAGTGTTTTCTGCAGGTGCCCTCTGCTTTGGCATTCCAGCTGCATCACTGTAACTGGTCTCCATTCAAATGAGTGAAAGCTTTGTGTCTGGGACTGGTCGTTGATAAGGGGCAATCAGTCTCTAAAGCACAGTATAAATAGCAAGATATGTGATTTGTGAGCCTCCTGTGGGTTTAATCTCATAGAAACATGATGTTAAATGGTATCTTAACAGCCCAGTTGGTGGAATGAATGATGGTATGAGAACAATTTATTCAAACTGGTCAATGTTGCTTGTTACAGGTATAAAGTATTGGCCCAGCAGTACAAGGCTATGTACCCTACTCTGGAGATTGACATAGAGGGAGAGCTGGTCAAATTAAAGGTAACAGAACTAAATAACAAAACACAAAAATATTTCTAGAAACATTAAATTGTCCTCTTTGTCATAACATTTTATATGTTGATTTGATGTGATTTTAGGACTATGTGGAGCGGATTAAGCCCATGGTGAGAGACGGGGTGCACTACATGTATGAGGCTCTTCATGGACCTCCTAAGAAGATCCTGGTGGAAGGAGCCAACGCAGCACTACTGGACATAGACTTTGGTTAGTATATTGCTGTGCATGTGTGTGAGCGTCACAATTACGCACACCTTACTCTTAACTTGTTTGGTTCTGTATATTTTCCAATTATCCATTTGAATATAAGCCGACTTCTCTATGCTAACCTGTGCTCTGAGAATAAATGTCATTTCTGTTTGCCAAGCGCTGTTGAATGCATTTATAGTGACCCAGTGATGTTGCCCTGAAACACTTAAGCTTTGTGATGATCTTTAAAAAAGCCTGCTTGGAGCTCAGACTAGAGATGATGGTAAGTTTACTAACTGCTACAGAGGTGCTCTGGCATCCAGGCTTGACGTGCACGCTCACAGCTGAACCACTTAATGTCACATGACTGTGCATGAGCACGAAGGCATCCTGTCAGTCAGTTGATCACAATTGCAAAGTAAACATTAAATCAAGAAATATTGTCAAAAGGTTGTTTAAAAGCATGACAGTTGTGTTTATCGTTTCAGATAATGACACCACAGACTCAACATACTAATCTTCTAGGCGTTATAGTATGTCATTGTTACAGGGCAGAACTGTCATCATTGAGAGCAGTGACGGGACTGAGCCAGGTTCACCACTGGTTATTATCAAAACACTGTGCTTGTAATAACTCTGGTATCAGAGAACAGTGTCCTGCACACTGATAGGCAAACAGCCGCTCTTTCTGACTGGCTATATCTATACTTGATTAGAAGTTGTGGGAAATGTCACAGCAGCATCAAGCCGTAACTTAATGTGTATAATTTTATTATGATTGTGTGTTCATAAAACTAATCAAGATTTATTTGGAATTTGGGAGCATTTATGGCATCAGTGTTTAGCCAAAGAGCACTTTGACATGACACAGAACTGCTGATGAACACACTGGTTGCTCAACAAACCGGTTCTTCTTTGATTACACCACAGCCTACGTGAAAAAATATCGGCATGTGGCCAGCAGCTAGGCCTGGACACTTGATCCTTGTACGCTTTTAATTGCAGTAGGTGAAAGACAGGTTCTGAAGCTCATTATGTTTTGAATAGCTGAGGTAAGTGTAGTTATCGCCTCAGAGACATACTTGGGTATAGTTAAACAAAAGACCAAAACTTGCTTTAAACTTCAGTGTTTTGTTCTGTTTGAAAAATGTGTCAGATGGGTGAGGTTCTTTCTTTTCAGGCAGCTCAATTATCTAGAAGCCAGTTAGGCCTCAAGGCACACTCACAGCTAGGTATTAGAGAACATTTCAGTTAATTAAGTGAACTGGCAGGTTTTGTCATGAGCCAGTGAGCATGTCCAAAGGTATTTGTCTAATGAGGTGTAATGTCCAGTGACTGAACAAAGAAGCAGGCCAGAGTTGTTAGGTCCAAGCTCGACATCAGGACAGGTGCTGCTATATCAACACAGCTCGTTGTCCTGAAACAGCTCATCACCCTCACCCTTGCAAAGCCCACACCACTGTACGTGATGTAAAATAAATTTGGAGATGAATGAACCCAGAGGATAACAAAAAGTGCTGTCATTAAATTTGACCTGCTACCTTCCTCTAGACCAGGGGTTTTCAAAATGTGCGAGAGTTGCAGGGGGCCACAGAGGCATAGCTGTGAGGCAAAAATCCTGCGTGAAAGAGTCAGGTGCTTTCACGTGTTCTAAAAACAATGGCAACTTAGTTATTGTAGTTTGACCGCTGATTTGGCTGCTCAGCAGTTGGAGCTGCAGTAGAGGATGTGATGCAGCGCTCATGGAGACAGTTCAGGTGGTTTTAAAGTACCAAAATTGCCCCAAACATTCTTCTCTTGCCTGAGAATCATGATGTTTTCTTCTGTATCAAAGTAATCGAGTGATGGTTGGTTGTGTGTCCGTGGGTCCAGTGCAAACAGTAACTGCAAATAGTTAATTTGACACACTTTTAATGGTGCCAGTTGGGCAAAATGTAAACAAATGACAGTGTCCACCTTTTGAAAATCCCTGCTAGAGACAAATCTTCCCACATTTATTGTTAATTTCATTGTTTGTTCAATCAATATCTGGTGTTATCACTGTTTACTTCTTGTGTCATTGCAGGGACGTACCCGTTTGTGACATCGTCCAACTGCACGGTGGGCGGGGTGTGTACAGGTCTCGGCATGCCGCCTCAGAACGTTGGCGAGGTTTATGGCGTCGTCAAGGCGTACACCACCAGAGTCGGCATTGGAGCTTTCCCCTCAGAGCAGAGCAACGTAAGAGGCAACATGCAGTCATTTATAACGCCCATTCATATTCAGACATGGCATAAATATCCTTTACATTAAGTAAGACTTTATGTACAGCATACAGCAAAATGTTTTTTACCTGACCTGGCCAATCAGAAACTATCGCTTGTAATGAGTTAGTAAAGTAGGGGTAACAGAATGAAGGTATGAAGTTTGAGCGTCTTGTTCCAATCACTAGCAGCAGCAAAGGGGAATGAATGGAAAGGAGGTGCAGACTTTAGGAGAGACCATACTAATGAATTTGCTAGAGTGTAAATTGAGGTTACTGTTGTAGATACTGAGTACTGAGTGGAGATATGGAGGGGTTCTTCCAATGATAGTTTTATAAATGAACTGATACCAGGGGGTCTGTCACCCGGTATGGATTGATGGCCAGTTGACTAGACATTACAGGTTATAGTTATGAGTGTTGAAAGGGGCACCAGTGACAAAGCAGATGTCTTCCAGTCTACTGACAAGATTTTTGGAGGCAGATTTGTAGATTAAGTCGCCTTAATCCAAGCTTGGAAAAATTGTTATCTTAACCATCTTAACTTTGCAGAGAGTTTTAAAGATGCTTTGTTGTGATACAGGAAACCAGTTCTTGTTTTCACTTGGGAGAGCAGCATGTTGATGTGCATTTGAAAGGATAGTAAACTGTACAGCCAGACACCCAGGTATTTGTAGGAGGTGACGAATTCAAGTTCTTCAAGATTTTGAAGAGGGCATGCGACTTGAGGTAAGATTTGGTTGAAGACCATGCATTTTGTTTTATTAGTACTTAGGAGAAGGTGATATTGGATACTATTGGAGCTCTGTTGCAAGGAAGTCAGAGCAGTGTTCAGGGAGGGACTGGATGTGTACAAAATGGTGTTGTGGATGTGAGAGCTCCCTGCAGCATGAGCAATATTATTGATATAGAGATTGAAAAGGGTGGGACCTAGAATGGACACCGGAGGAACACCCATGGACAGGGAAGGGCCAGACAGGAAACCCTCAGGTCTGACAGATATACACAACCAGAGAAGTAGCTGTTTGTTGACCAGTTTCTCCAAGACTCTGGAGAGGCAAGGAAAGATGGATATAGTAACTGTAACACTTTAGGTCTTAGTTGTTGCCCCCCTTTGTAGAGTAGGGTGACAGTTGCAGATTTCCAGTCCTGGGGCGAATTAACAGGTCTGCAGGGAAAGGTTGAACAGACAAGTTATGGGACCTGAGGTCATATGTGCCGCTAACTTCAAGAACTTCAAGTCCAGCTGATTTATAAGGATCCAGTTTGAGTAGCCTCCCAAGCGGGGGTCAGTGCTTGGTGTGTCAGTGCGGCAGCTACAAAGGCATGACCAGCTTTAACAAAATGCTTAGTGAAATTACAGTTTGACTTTATCTGAGATAACAATGTCAATGTTGGGTAATTGAGAGAATGTGTTCTTATTTTCCATGATTTTAACAATCTTCCAGAACTGTTGATAAAGGTGAGTAGTCTTATTTTTAAACAGCACCACCCGGAGGTGGTCTTGCTACACTGCTATGAATGACGAGCTGTAGTAAACTTACATTTTTATTGTCAATAACTCTGAGAGTGACACCTGCTCATGACTAAACCTTAAACCTGAAGCCTGAATGCAGAGCCCCATCTTTAATGGCTGAGTATTTTTGGTGTCTGAATGACAGGAAGTTCAAAAACATTTACCAAAAAAACATTGAGTCAGCCAGTCAGTGAGCACTAAAGAACTGAGACTCATGGAGTGTCTTCACTCATCTCGTTGTCTTCAGGACATCGGAGAGCTACTTCAGACTCGGGGGAAGGAGGTGGGCGTGACCACAGGCAGGAAGAGGCGATGTGGTTGGCTGGATCTGGTGCTCATCAAATATGCACACATGATTAATGGCTTCACTGCGTGAGTTCAGTGTGCATGTGTGTATTTGTATTGATTCCTATTGTTTTATCTGTGTGTATAGGAGGGTTTTTTTTTTTATTGCATATTGTTGATATACATATTGAGTTTCACCAGGTGCATGCAGCTAATTTTTCTACATTTGTAGAAAAAAAGAGTAAGACGTTTTTTTGTGTCACAAAACTTAACAACAGTTCTTTCTTCAACAAATCTTTCTTCTTAGAGAATGATTAGGATTGGTTATAAGCTGTTTAGCAGAGTGACGTGTATTCAATGAGAAGCTGTCTTTTATAACCTTCCTGTCTCCTTTGTCCTACTCCCCAGTTTAGCACTCACCAAACTGGACATACTTGACGTGTTCGCAGAGATCAAAGTGGGCGTAGCGTACAAAGTCGACAACCAAACTATACCTCACTTTCCAGGTAAGCCGGTTTGTGTGAATGAGCGATTATTGTGAAAGTGTTAAAATCAGTTGCAGCACATATTAAGAGAATAATTGAAAGTCAAAGAAAAATGTTGTTAAAAACTGTTCTTTTCTTTACAAAATATTGGACTATAAAGACAACATTACCTTTATGTTATCCTCCATAACCGCTACTGACTTTGACATTAGGTTCAAACTATGTCGGTGAAAAAGTGGAGTTGATGCATCTTATTGAACCTCTCACTGGCGTGTCTCCAGCTTTTCCTCCTCTTCCTCTAGTCTACAAGATTGTTGCAAAAACATATTGATCTGTTGTCATAGCTGTTTGATTGCAGTCTTTTGTAAAGCTAATGGTGTGATATTACCCCCTGCCCAAGACCAACCCCAACCCCTACTTTTATTGATTTTGTGCCAGCCAATCAGGAGGTGTTGCAACGTGTGGAGGTAGAGTACGAGACGCTGCCGGGCTGGAACAGCGATACCTCGGCTGCGAGGAGCTTTGACGAGCTGCCTGAGAACGCCCAGAAATATGTCCGCTTCATTGAGGAGCATGTGGGAGTGCCTGGTATGACCCCACACACACACACACACACACACACACACACACACACACACACACACACACACACACACACACACACACACACACACACACAGACAGTCATTGATGCACAGAATATACACAGAAAGTGAGGGGCGCCCTGGTAGCTCACCTGGTAGTGCTGGTACCACATTTTTTTTTACTTGTTTTCGGTGTTTACTATAATCTAGCTTCTACCCACTAAACCTAGGAATGTTATGTTACGGCTGCAACTAATGATTATTTTCATTGATTAATTATTTTCTTAATTGATAAATACTGTGCTTTTTTTGAATTTCAGAATTGTGAAAATCACAATTTCCCGGGAGCCAAACTGTCAAAGTTCCTACAACCGAAATACAAATCCTCACATTTGAGAAGCTAGAACCATAGAATAATGACTAATCAATTATTATAATTGAATAATGAAAGTAGTTGCTAATAAAATCACATGATGACCATGATGAAAAACAGGCCTGTGTCTTACATATCCTGAGTTTTGACTTGTCCTGAGTTGGAATTGTCATATAATGCACAAATGATACTATATGACAAATAAAAAAAAACACACTGCTTCTCAGATTAATCAGTGTAATGATTATCAGCTTTGCTCGCCAGTGTCCTCCATAATATTTTTATGTATTGGCTTACTGAGACGTCAACAGGACATGCAATAGGTCAAGCTGATAGGGGAGGAGCGCCCTCTGCTGAACCACACGATAAACAACTTCAGTCTGTTGGGCTTATAGACTGTACGGTTTGAATTTGAACCGGTCATTGCAGTTTCTGTGTAAAATCTGTTACATGTTTTAAACAAAGTTTGACTTTAGAATAAAAATCAAGAGCCCTAATGTAACTTTAAATGTTAACTGGGTTTCTTGTTTTTTAGTAAGCAGTAAGTAAGCATGTGTATGAGAAAAAGCTAAAGCACAGCTGTGACAGAGAATTATCCTCTAGCAGTCTGTTTCCACCACTGAACATTTAACTATTTGTAAAATGCACACGTTCAGACTCATACAGTTGAAACAAGTAAGCAATGCTTCCAGCCTACGTTCGGGGTGGGGGATGAATCTGCTGCATGTATACGTGGATTTACTGTAACCAGGCTACATGTAAATGTGTTCTCCGACTACCTGCGTAACCTGGTTTCTCTGAGTGCATGTAAACAGAACACAGACCTTAGACCTGTGGCAGTAGAACGGGCAGTAACACCCTCCCCTGCTTCTGTTCCCTCAGTCAAGTGGATCGGAGTGGGAAAGTCTCGGGAGTCCATGATCCAGCTGTTCTAGACGAATGGAGGAGAAAATCAAGCAAAGAGGATGCACAGCAGCGAATCAACTGTACCCTTCTCCCCCTCCACCGACATACACACAGCCTACCTACCTGTCTCAACTCTCCAACGGAGATCATCATGTCTGTTTTTAATGCTTTACCTGAGTGTCACAGCGTTACTCTCTGGATCAGACTCGAATCAGACTGACCTCCCTGTATGAATGTTTCCCAGCGTCTCCATCTGGATTTTAACAGTTTTAAACTCTAGGATAACAGCTCCACAGTCAAGTCCCTCTCTTTAATTTGTCCCCGTTTATACCGTAGCCATTTACTTCAGACATACAACACACTAGGCGACACCAGCTGCCATCGTGGTCTGAGAGGACATGAGGGAACGGACTCTCACACACGCACGCACACACACACACACACAGATTGACGCAGACACGGGTTCACCGCCCAGAGGAACTGTCCACAGACGTTTTGGTTGGTCAAACTTTGTTCAAGTGTATTTTTGTTAATCTATGCTGTGTTTTAAATGCGCTGTGCCAGTCTGGTGTAAATCAGTTTAAAGGTTTTAACCTCAGTACTTTAGATGCTTTGGACTATATCTGCTTTATGTTTTATTCTGCTGGGTTTACCTCAAATCCTGACATGATAAAGGGATCTTGTTGTATTTGTAATGTGTCTTTTTGTGATGTTTTTTTTTTTTTTTCATCAGACAGATGAGTAAAGACATCTTATATTGCCTTGTCATTCAACCAAACAATAAGCTTTTAAATTTCCTGTAGCTAGTCACTGCTTCCACTGAATGCTGTTGATGAAGTACTGATGCCCTTCTTGTCGTACTGTGAGAAGGCTCATGGGTTTTGGGTTTATTTTAGCAGGTGAGTTTTTCCATGAGCTGGTACAGAGAGTCTGGTATAACAAATGAAAATCAATTCAATAGGCCAGCATCTTTCTACTCACATTCTTCTGATTGTTTAAATTATTATTACCATTGATTTCTATGCACTTTCAGTACAATGTTCTGTTAAAGTGTAAAGGAAGGCAACGGTAACAACTTTTACACCAAGAGAAGTGTAAATATGGATTGATAAAACTGTATAAGAGAGTCATCTTCCTCCTTTTTTTTGTGCAGTCTTGTGCCATTGCAGAAAAATAAGGCTTAAAGTTCCCCTCCACTCAAATATTAGTTTCACATTCATCTGCTGAAAGTGGAAAGTTTTTATGTGCTCTGATTTTAAGGGCCGGGGCCAACAGTGTCCAGCAGGTACACTTTAGAAATGGACAAAATTAGGATATTCATAGATTCTGGATTTTGTTTTTAATGAGATCAAAGGAGTAGATGCCTTTTTCAGGATTATAATGTGGAAATTATATATATATATATATTCATTTAGAAAAAAACACACCAGACACATTATTGTGTATATGTGTCTTATTTCGTGTCTGGAGGGGATCTTTAAATAAGTTGTCCTTGGTTGCATTTTGCCATCAGAAACTATCTGGTTCTCGTCACTGTATCACCAGTTCAATGGCACCATTCAAATGAGCCAATCAGAGCTACCTGCTGGTGTGATGTCACAGCTGAAAAATGTGTCTGATGCATTCATGCAAAACCTCCCATAACTCCGACTTGGGAGCGTTCACGCATTATTGTAAGACGATTACCCTGGCTGCTACTCTTGTAGTCACATCATTTAAACAGCCTTAATCAGCGACTTTAACAGTGTTACATAACCAGATACATATACTGTAAAGCTCCTTTAAAATTCACTGACTCTGTTGTATTCATGCTAATATTGGATTTTATTTAGATGTAACTGTCAGTGATGGTGGCTTTCCAGCCATTTTGCCATCAGTTTGTCTCCAAATTACAATTAGGGTCGAGTGTGTTTGCTGATAATTAAGGTCCCAACAATATGATATGAATGCAGTATTATTCTTCCAGGTCTAAATCAGTTTTGAATACTGAAAGGTCTTCAGATATTTGGATTTATTATTGCTCTTCCATAAAGTTGGGGGACTATCAATCAGCAGGAGAGGCCAAGATATCCAGACCTTGTATGGGGTCAAACTCCTCCAATGTTGAATCCTACATTTTCTATAATGCTACTGGCTGACGTCTTCCGTTATGCCTTGTTCACGCCACATGGGAGGGACGTTAAGGACTTGTCTGCATTCACATGATCTGATAAATCAAGGTGGTTGTAGGATTAGAGACACTTTAATGTGAGAGTTAGAAACACCCCCCACTTGTAAAAACCCCTTGGATGTTGATGTAAACGCTACAAGTAATTATAATAACTGATATAAAATAAATGTGGCATTAGACCAGACTTTGGAAAGCTCCTCCAGAGCCACAGAAGACACACAACTGTTCACAGACTCCTTTAATGAACCCCTGGTATCTTGTTTGAATAGAGGTGGAGGTGGAGAACTAGAAACCAAACAGCTCTCTGTAAAAGTGAGTAAAGTGTTAGTTGAAAAATTGTCACAGATGTTTCATAGGCACAGCTGTCGTACCATAGCAGACCCTGTACGGCTTAATGTGTTTTTGTTTTTTATGTCAGATATTGCAAACTCAACCTGTTTTCCGTTGGCAGCAAGACAGTAACACATTACACGTTTTGTGGGTTTTATTCCAAAACAGCATAAACATGATGACATGAATGGATTTGATACCAGATATTTCACCTTCAGTAAACAAAGCAGTGAGTCGTCACGTCAATTTAGCTGGAGAGCGTTTAGTCAAATTATTGATACGTGATTTTGGAATAAAACTCCTGTTTGTTAATTATATAAACTGGTATCTAATCCACTTCTTCTCTGGTGACCTAAATGTGGCCACTCAGTCTGCAACATTTTTCTCAGGACATTGATTAAAAGGGGATTTTTAAAAATGTATTATTCGTTTTATCTTGAGATTGTGTGTAACTGCTGAAACCAGTTGTGAAAACTCAACAAAACCCCATTTAGTCTCAACAACTCTTTAACTTTTAAAACTATGTTGTTTTCTGGATTCCTGAAGAGCAGTTTTGCAGGTTTTTTTTAAAGTAAAGCTGCTCCCATTTATAAAGAAAGTCATTTTCATACTGTACTTTCTTTTTTTATTGACACACCTGTCTGCCCCCCTTGTGGTGGTTGAGAGGGATGGAAATAGTGAATCCGGATCATTCACTCTCTTCTATCTGCTCTACTGAACAGTGTAAGTTTGGTATCTGTGTCTCCTTATTTCCTAACAGCAGCAGTATGTTTCTTCTCTCTTTTGCTGTATTATAATGAACGTTTATCCCTTTTTGTGCTCACACTGCCAACTTTCACCGAATCCCCTTTCTTAACCTGAAACTATGCGTTGTTTTTTTTCTGCTTTCCATCCTCCTTTCTTTTCTTTTCCTTTATTCTGAACATTCCCTCACTGCGCCCAGGTTGTTAAGGGCAGACTCCCTATCTTGACATCTGGTAAGACTAAATGAATGTTTTAGGCTATGTACGCACAATATAAACAGGAAAAACCCTTAACACATACGTTTCTGTGTTAAATCTTTTGTTTTTGTTGAACCCCTTCACATGCAATTTCCCCTTTTATTTCCAGTAAAGTATTTTTCAGGTTGGAAAAGTCATCACATTTCCTGAAAATGTATCCTGACATGGTATTTGGTGTCTGTGGAAACTTTGGGATCTCCACTAGAATTTAAAATAAAGTTCTGTGGGTTTGAACAACGTGTGGCTGCAGAGTTTGTTATATAAGAGGGGTTTAAAGGTACAAAGTACTTAGGAGGATCTATTGGCAGAAATTTAATATAATATTCATAGTTATGTTTTCTTGAGTATATAATCACCTGAAAAACAAGAGTTTTCGTGTTTTTAGAATGAGACATTTTTATCTACAAAGGGAGCGGGTCTCTGGAGGCCGCCATGTTGAACCACCATGTTTCTTCAACAGCCCAGAAAGGACAAACCAAACACTGCCTTTCAGGTTTTATATGAATTTTGTGGCCACTCTAGTTTCTCCTGGAAGGTGAGGGGTATTGAGTTGGTTGCAATCTGTAACTCCACCACTAGATGCCACTAAATCCTACACACTGGTCCTTTAAGAGGTTAAAATACACACATTATTAGCTGATTAAACTCCAAATGTCAATATGTACAGTATCGTATTACTTTGTGTTGTAGAAGAGAAGATGGTATTTAACTTCAGATTTCAAATCTGTTTTCAAATACGTCTAGTGTAAATGTGTGACCTTTTAAAACACCAAACCCTAAAGGTTTTCAGACTTCAGATACTTGAGACAAGATTTCTTTCTATCTAGCACTATCCCTCCAGCTATCTAGCAAACTAACTATCACGACAGATTGAGCAAGGTATCAAGGTAGCTACTGATATATCTAACATTAACTATCGAGCTAGCTATCAAGGTATCTTATTGAGCTATCTATCGAACTAGCTAGCTAACGACATATTTCTAACTTTCGAGCTAATGCAGTTGTCAAGATATTTTAATTATTGAGCTAGCTAGCTATAAAGCTAAAGTTTAAAGTCTAATTTAGCAACAACAAAAAAAAAACTTTTCTTGATTTAATGCATTGGCCTCTGATTAATGCTGTTACATGTGGTTAATGCGACACTGCAAATAATTATTTCTTTGAAGAGGCCTTTTTCACAGCAGACATTTTGATGACTCAGTAGGAAAAGCACAGCGGTAATAACATTAACAATGTCTTCTTTCTATTCAAGCGTCCCAGCAAGCCGTGACAGTGCAGCGTTTATTCATTTTATTATTTACACCTGTGGTTGTCCTGCTGTAACAAATCAAAATGTTGCTTATTGTGTTGTAGAACTTCACACCAAAAAGATAAAATGCTTTAACTCATTCAACTAATTTTACTTCCAGAAGTTGTTTTTCGCTTTGGGTTTCGCAGATAAGACTTTTCACACAAACACGCCAATCCGACTGAAACACAGCCTCAATCGAGTATGTAGGCCGATGCTTGTTCTAGTATTCATATGTGTGTTCCAAGAACCAGAGATCCCGACGTGTTAATGAAAGTACTTCATTTGTTTGTCAAATATGAGGGCAGATTAATTCTGTCTGGCCTATAAACAAAATAGGTGGTCAACAGAAACAGTGAGCAGTAAGAGAGTTTAGGCTATATTTGGCTTCATATGTCAAATAAATGAGTCCTGTGTGCTCTCCCACCTCATGGTTTGTTAATACTGGTGACACTGGCTGACCAGTTGGATTTTCTAAGACTGTACTGTCATTATAATAAAGTGCAAACTAGCCATACTCAGTTTTGGTTCCTGGGATGGATCAGATTATATTTTCCATACAAATGGCTAAAGTTGAAATAAGGTATTAAAACTTACTGTCGTGTTTGAAGTTCTGCTGAGATAAAAAAAAGTTTGGAGGGAAGTAGTAATTCATGCCTCTAGATATATTTCATCAATTTACTCATCTTTTAGGATCAGTTATAATCCATTAATAAGAACTAGTCTTGAGTTTCCAGATTGTGAAAACCTCCTTTAAGATGTTTATAGTTTCTACTTGAGAATAACTCTTTTAGAAATGTTGGTAATAATTCATATATTTTATACTTTATAATAATCCATAAAGTTGTCAGTTCCAAATGTAAATAAATAAATAAATAGAAATGTAAAAGGATACATTTTTGGGTCCACATATTTCCCACAAGGTAACGTCCAGTGGAGGGGCTTTTTTCTCCAATATTATATTATTATTATTGTTAAATTTCAACATTTCATTCATAATTTGTTAGGGTCAGTAATTGATAGTTTTGAGGGACATGATTACAGCAGTTATCTTTCAATACTCACATACCGAGGCTATGTTTCTTCATGAGCACTAGAGGGAGGCATTTGACTATAAATGACTGTGAATGTTAAACACTTGTTAATGAACTAACAGCCCGACTGAGACTTGTTCTCTCCTCAGGAATCTTTTATGGACGGTATAGTGAAGTCACAGACACAGAGAGGCTACAAATGGTTTTAAATACAGTATTAATCCACTGAAAGCCACACGAACCGATACACAGCTAAAGTCCAGTGGTGGAAAGTAACTAAATACATTCATTCAAGTACTGTAC